AAGAAATCTGATAAGGACGTCACCCTGCTTCCAATCCTCTGGCTTCACAGATCCCTGAGGAATCTGGCTTTGTAGGCCTTTTGGCTCTATCCTAAAAGCACTGTCTTTCCACCCTCTCTGCTTCAACCCTACTGAATTCATCTCCAACTCCCTAACCATGGGCCACTTTTGCTCACCTCTGAGCCTTGTTCTCCAAGGCAGTAGTAAGCTGTTTACTGATTCCTAAGTTCTGCCTCAAATGTAATTCAAAAAAGATTTTATTTTTTATTGACATAAAATTTACATTTACATTAAACTTAAAATAGCTTTTTCTAAGATTTTATTATTTCAAAATTAAAGATAAATTAATGGTGGCTCAGTTGGTTGAGCATCTGACTTCAGCTCAGGTCATGATTTCATAGTTTTGGGGTTCGATCCCTGCATTGGGCTCTGTACTGACAGCTCAGAGCATGGACCCTGCTTTAGATTTTGTCTCCCTCTCTCTCTGCCCCTCCTCCCTTTGTACTCTGTCTCTCAAAACTAAATAAAACATTTAAAAAATTTTTAAGATAAATTAACGGAAGCCGAATATTGTGGACTGTTTTATTTTCCTTTGTTTTTGTTTTATATTTGTGTTTATTTTTTAACTTCCCTGAATTACAGTTCTCCAATATTATGTTCAGTCTGCCTCTAGAATAAAACACCTATTTTATTGACCATGTTGTTGACCATTCCTGCAACATTTCCCTAATTTGCTATTATTGCCTCTCCCTACCCTCTATGCTACTATCCTCAGCCCTAGCTTCTTTCAGGAAATCCTTATTTCCTCAGATCTCATTTTAGCCATTATATTTGATTAGCCTCCCTTGACTATAGGGCTAGGTCTCAACATCCATGTGATCTACATCAGTGCTTCTCAAACTTGAATGAGAGAGTCCCTTATGTATCTTGAAAAAATACATATTATGATTCAGTACATCTGATATCCTGCATTTCTCACAAGCTTTCAGGTGATGCTGATGCTATTGGTTCTTTAGTAGCAGAAATCTCTATTAATCTTCCTTCTTTAGAGTAACTATAACACAGTATTGTAACTCCCCACATACTTAATTTTATCCTCCACTAAATTCTTTAACATCTGGAGCAATATCCATTGTGTTCACTGTTATAACCTCAAATCTTGCTCAATAACAGACACATAGTATGCATACACTATTTTCGTAATGATAAATGAATGCATGAAGAATGTTGATGGAAGTGTGTATAAAACATGGTGGGAGCAGAGAAGAGTGGGATAAATAGGAATAATAGAAATAGCCAGAAGAAGGTGATAGAGGAAAGAAAGAGCTACATTTATTTATTGACTAAAATTGAATCATTAATGTTGGCCATATCCACAGAGTAGAACTACTAATAATTCAACATGGCTGAATCCAGGAGAAGAGAATGAGACTTTCACCAGACCATGGAGGGCCAGTAGGAGTTGTAGGAGCTTCATATTTTTGGTAAATAGCAAACAGATAATTTCTAAACACAATTACTGATGCAGCAACCAGTGTTTGTTATTATTGTTATTCTTTCCTTGCTTTTTAAATTTGTTTCTATAATTTGGATACATTAACCCTAGATTACCTGATTTGTCTCTGGCCTTTTGCTCCTGTCTCGGACTGTTTCTTTCAGAACCCACACTGCTTACTGCTTCAGGAAACTTCCAGCCCTGAATTCTGCTTTCCCATTTCCTGATTTAGGATGACCATCCATATCAGCTACTTCATGTGTGAATTTTAAAGCTTGTATCCTATGACTGGAGAAAATGCTTTACTTATTTCTATGTCATTGAGAATTTTTGTTACCTACATTTTTACTACTATGAATAATATCACAATAAATGTTCCTCTCTATAAAGCATTGTCCATATCTCTATTTTTTCTTTGGATAAACTTCTAGGAAGAGAATCTTATGGACATTGTAAGCCAACAATATACTGGAAAATACACTTTCACAAAGTTCTACTGTAAAACAGTATTTAGTCCATGATAACAAAACAATATAACACTGTGCATTGTAAGTTTTTTATAAAACTTTGCAAATAAAAATTTGCTAATTTGACAGGCAAGAATATTTTACTGCTTACTGTAGTAAATACATTGGCACTCAATAAGTAGTATTTATTGCAAGTCCTTATGGCATTTTTTTGTTTCTAATTCTGCTCTTCCTATTTGGATTAACAAGTTGGGAAAACATTTATATGCAGTAATGATGTCACAGACTGGTATTTCCCAGGTTCAATGGTATTGATGTTGATATATTGATAACTACATACTCCTGGGGCTATGTGACTTCATTGAGAGGCATTCTGCTCAGACTTTTGGAAGGCTGAACTGAATTACCAGCTACTGTTCTGCTGGACTGGTGTAAGTGTAGGACAGTGAGATGGACCATACTTTGAAAATAGGTGTACAATGTGTGCCAGTGCTCTAACAGCAGGCACAACAGTTCCATGTGCATGCACCAAGCTCTGGCTCAGAATATACTATAATGTTATTATAACACTATTGCTATAAGAAAAAATAACATTCTTTTGGCCAGGGGATACATAAACATAAACATTCCCAAGTAGTTTCTGAGACTGATCGGAAAGCAGTCAATGCCCTAGAATTTGCCCAGCCTGGTAGAGAAAATGTTTCCAATGATCTCAAGAAGTTCAATGTGAGGAGATATAAAAGACTAACCTTCATACACAAAATATAAGCACACACAGGTGACAACATGTTAAAATCCAGTCTGGCACATACACATGCACACATGCTGTTAGGTTTAGAGCAATCTGAATTGGAATTAGTAGTCGATGAATGGTCATGTAAAGATTCTCTAGGGAATGAGTTTTAAAACCTGAAAGGGTCTCCAGTAGCCCAAGCTTTTAATAGTGGTTGTGACACTTATTAACTGAGAGACCTAAGTAAGTTGCTTAAATTCTCTAATCTTTGGTAACTGTATAAATCAAAGTAATAATGGATTCTTCCATCGAATTTATTATCTTACAGTTGTGCAGACTGGAAGACTGACATGAGTCTCACAGAGCTAAAATCAAGGCATCAGCAGGACTACATTCTAGAGTGCATATGGGAGAATCAATACCCTTGTCTTTTCTCCTTCTAGAGACTGACCACATTCCTTGGCTCATGGTCTCCCTCCCTCTGCCATCATCAACGCCAGCAATAGTGGATCAAGTCCTTCTAATGCTGCCACCTCTCTGGTTCTCCACTTTTAAGGAATCTTGTGATTAGAATGAACCCACCAAGATAATCTAGGATAATGTCCTCATCTCATCTCTTCAACTTTAATCACATCTGCAAAATCCCTTCTGCCATGTAAAGGTAATGTATTCACAGGTTCCAGGCATTAGGAGATGGATATCTTTGGGGGCCATTATTTTTTCTACCACAAACATTTCATAATACCTTAGGCAGAGAATGCATAGTAAAATGTTGTTGTTATATTATAAAGAATGAAATATTTCAGGCCAAGATATTGTCTTGGTGAAACAGACTTGGTAGTAGGGAAAGTTAAGGATAGAAGCAGAGAGAATGGTTAGGAAACTACTGAAATTATCCAAGTGAGAGATATCCAATTATCTGGTGCCTCAGAAGGGGGATGAAATTTTGGAGGTGATGAAGAGTGATTACATTCCAGTTATAGTTTCAAAAGTATTAGGATTTGCAGGTTTATATGCAGAGTGTAAGAGACAGAAATCAAGGATGGAGTCTAAGACCCATATGCTCTAGAGTGGTGCAGAAATGGTGGGAACATCTGAGAATCTAAAGGGGCCATAAGTAGAGAAGACAGACAGCCTATAGCAATCTGCAGGTACTCTATTTATTCAAGACTAAAGAGGGCAAATGTCACCTCATATCAGATTGCATCACTGGCCAGATCCATCACCCACATACTCAAATTCCTTGGTACAATCTAAGATCCACAAAATTTAAACACAAGTGGGAAGAAACCCAAATTACTGTTGTTAGTTTCCTTCCAGCTAGTAGGCTGGGACTCTAAACAGAAAATATATTGAATTATGAAAAAGAAAATTATTTATTTTCTGCACACAGTTGTAGACTGAGATTTCTACCTATGATATTCTCCAAGCACTTGGTTCATGCCTCTACAATAATATTATCATTGATTATCAGTATTGGTAATTATCAGTTAACTGTGTATTTCTTTTTTTTTTTTTCCAACGTTTATTTATTTTTGGGACAGAGAGAGACAGAGCATGAACGGGGGAGGGGCAGAGAGAGAGGGAGACACAGAATCGGAAACAGGCTCCAGGCTCTGAGCCATCAGCCCAGAGCCTGACGCGGGGCTCGAACTCATGGACCGCGAGATCGTGACCTGGCTGAAGTCGGACGCTTAACCGACTGCGCCACCCAGGTGCCCCGTAACTGTGTATTTCTAAACTAAACTAAGAGACCCTGGACACTAATAACTATGTTGTATTCCCCCCTTTTTTAAATCTCTGGCACTTAGCATGATGTTTGGAATATAGGACCCTCTTATGCAATATTATCTGGCATGTATGTATACATGAGTAAATTATGTTTTCTCCTACTTGTAAAAGAGAGTCTGCTAAGAAGCACAGGTAGGCTTATGAAACAGAACTGCCATGAATAGCAATAGATGCTAAGAAGTTATGGAGAGGAGTGTGATTTGCACTCACCAGAGGAGATGACTTTTAGTGAGTTAGTATACTTTTTAGAATCCTCTTCAGAGTGACTGCCCATGGGCATGGATTTCTTCTTACAGTGATGATAATTTTCTAAAATTAGACCATGATGATGCTTATGGTACAACTCTGTGAATTTACTGTGAACTATTGAATTCGTACATTTTAAACAGGCGAATTTTATGATCTGTGAATTATATCTCAAAATTGTTTCTACAAAAAACACTTCAATAAAAGGGCACAAGGAAAAAAATTACATCAGCCTAAAAAGCACATAGTCACAATAAGTAATTGCATAATAGAACAGACAAAGACTGTATAAGGCAAAAGAAGTCTTCTGGGAACCACCATACCCTGGAGACACAGTGAGTGACACCACTGCCAGGAAGAGACCTTTCAGCTCTGGTCCTGTCTCTATCCAGGCTGGAACAAGTCTTCTCATAAACTTGGTCCTCCCCCGGAATCTAAAGCCTCCTCAGCTTTCTGAGCCTAAAAGAGACCAGCAAAACTGCTGTAGAAACTCTGTAAGTAAAACCATTTTGTTCGATGAAAACGTTTGACTGTAGGCAAGCTGAACTTTTTTATCCACAGGAAGAATTTCCTCACAATGTGCAGAATTAGATTAGATAGTGAGATGGTGGGCTGATATGGACAGTAGAATTTATAGAATTATTTACTCTCAGGAAACCTGCAAAGAAGAGGCATTTTGTTCTGCCCAGCGTACGTTGGACAGCCTGTGGTTTGTTAAGCAAATGGCTCTATTAGAGTGCTTATATGTTTATCATAAGAGTGCTTATATGTTTATGTTAGTGGTTTGGTGCTTGAGAAAACCAAAGAGGTTGTCAGGAGTTGAAAAGTCATTTCTAAGCCCAATTATGCCTACTAAAAATTTTTTAAAAATACCAATTTTGAACACCTACTGCATGCCAAGCACAGTATTAGGCACTGTATACAGTCTACCTTCTAGATGGAGAAACTGGATCAAAGAAAGTTTATACTACTTGTACACAAAACAATAGTTTTCGGGAGCAGGAGTGTTGAAGTTTTTTTTTTAATTGGGTTTAAAACCCCAAGTCTGACATTCATTAGCTGTGTGTAATTCTGAATATGTTTCATAACCCCTCTGATACTCAGTTATCAGGAAAAGGGAATCAAAGTGAATTTAATAATACTTGCCAAATGATGTTGTAGTAAGCATTGAAAGAATGTTTCTCAAGTGCTTAGCTCTGCAACATTCACAAAATAAGTTCTAAGAAATGGTAGCTGCTGTTATGAGTAATTTTTTTTATTATTATTGCTATAAAGAGTCTTAAAAGTAGTTATGTTTAAGCAAGGATCTGAACCCAGGTCAGTCACATGCTACAGTGATGCCATGAGCAATGGCTTGGACAATACTGATAATGCTATATGCTCTGTTTCAGCAGCTAAAGACATAGCCACAAGCTATAGCTCACAACACTAAAACGAAAGAAGAGCATCACTGTGATCTGAGAGGGCAGGAAAATTAAGAGACTCTAGCTTATATCTCACATGTGAAAAGGAAGGTTGTACATGGATTGGAGAGGACGGATTAAACAGATTCCAGGGTGATGGCAGCATGAAGAGTTGTTTGGGGGAATTTTGGTACCTCTCCCTAATAATATCTATTAGTCCCCCTTTATTCTTTGATATGAACAGATAAGTTTTCCAGTTAAGAAAAGCACAATGAAATGCAACTTCAAGTACCCACTACAAACCACATTGCTATTACTTAGCCTTCAAACATAAACCTCCTCATTCTCCAGTTTTTGACATTTTAGAAGTAAAATCAATAAATATTTTAAAAACATTTGCACGTAGGGGATGAGAGGGAGAAGATTTTGTGTGTGTGTGTGTGTGTGTGTATGAAGGCAGTAACTCTGATTAGATTATTTGTTCGAGTTTGATGTCATTTACTGATAAATGAGGCAGAAGAGAGAGCACCAGGTTTGGAATGGGGAAAGGAATGAGTTCTGTTTGGCTCATATTGAGGTGGAAGTGTCTGGGAGATAATGGGTGGGGTATGCCTCAACGGTAGATAAAGTAGTTTATTCACCTTTTATTCACTGGCACTTAGCAGAGAGCTTGGACTTGTTCTCCAAACTGCTGCCTGTTAGTTTTCCCAAAACGCCTATTTGATCATCTCACTCTAGTTCCATGATTCATTACTGCCTTCGAATTTCAGCCCAGACATTTTACCATGGCTTCAAAGATCCTGTTAACTTTTGAACTGTAGAACTCAGGAAAAGCTATAATTAGATTTCAGATTTACGCATCATCTAGATATAAGTGCTATTTATAGCCTTGGGAAAAACTAAGATATTCCAAAGAGAGAATACTGGACAGCAAGAAAAGAACAGGGGTTTCTTGAAAGAAAAAGACTCCTAAAGAACAACTGAAAAGACAAAGAACAAAACCACTGTTTGATAAACAGATTTTTAAAAAACCTACAGAATTACTATCATTGAAGCTAATGAAGGAGGATTTCAAAGAAAAGTTGCCAAAAACTGTGAAAATTTGAGATGAGGGAGAGGAAAACAAATCTGAAAATAAACATTTGGACCTGATATTTAGAAAGCCATTGGTGACATAAGTTGGAGAATTTCCTGAGTCACTGGAAAAAGAACCCAGATTGTCACTGAAGGTGAAGGAAAAATAAAGCCAGGCAGATGGTCCTTCAAAGAACATTTTTGTCATTGCAAAAGGTAAGGCAGTAACTTGAGGGAGAAACAAGGTTTGTGTTTTATTTCACTTACTAGCAAAGCACAGTGGCCAACTGTGAAAGATGGTCAATATATTTTAGTTGAATTGAATGTGTTGAAAATTATCTATATAAATGTGTGGGAAGTTTTCATTAATGGTTTGGGGTATAAGTTGAGTATTGAAGTGAAGCTGCATAAAAGGAGCCACTGGTACTATTGAAGATACTAAAGAAGGAAAGGAATTTTCTTGGAGTTAAGGGAGAAGAAATGAAGAATGATTTACTTATTCATAAAATATTTGGAAATGCCTAGCTCTTGGTGCTCTGCAACTAAGGAGAAGTTCCTTCTCCTTTCTGTGGAATGCAAGATATTCATGTCCTGGCCTGTGAATTTCTCTAGCTTACCTCCCATGTCACCCAGATCATTTTTACGTCTCCAGAATTTTAATTTTCTTGTAGTTGTCCAACAAACTTTCTGTGCTATTATTTCATTCAGTTTCTGTTCATGTTGTTATCTATGTCAAGAACACCCTTTTCCTCATCTTCATCCTTATAAACTTACATTCATCCATCAAAACTTCACACAATTATAATTCATCTTCTTGGTTAAGAGTTCTTGGAATAAATTCCTCTTGACACACACAGACACATTCATGTATACGCACACTCAGAATCTGTCACTCCACACTATTCTGTCTTATCACTTAGAAATACCTTATCCTGTGTACTCTACAGCTAGTGGTATTTCTTTGACTCCTCCTATTATGCAGTGTGCCTACTACAGTGCCTCGCATGTAGTACGTGTTCAAGACTGGTAAGTTTTCTTTTTCACAGGAGTCACTGGGCTCTTATTAAAGATAAAGTTTTCAGCCTTAAGAAGATGAGGTGTTGACAACCTCTCTGGTTTTCTCAGGCACTAAACCTCTTTTATTTTTCTTGCTTCATATCCTTAGTGCTAAAACAATACCCAGTGAGCTCCCAGTTTGATACTATAATGAACTAAGTGTTGATGATGGTTGATCAAGAGCTTAAATGGAGTTGTTGGCTATGAAAAGGAATAAGGAATCTTCTATGTCTACACCCAGCATGGATGAGGAGAGGGTACAGGAAGACCAGCTGTAGAGCAACGGAAAGGAAGGAATTTGAGGGAGTTCTCTTCCCTCTGCCAGACTCAGCTCAGATTAGTTCAGCCTATACTTTATGTTCTTATTCTAATCACTCAACAAGAAAGGGAAGGGGAAAAACTGACAAGAAGAACAAAAATGTTCAATGAATAAATTGTTTGAATTAATAAAATAATGTAAAGTGAGCCATGGAGAAATAATGAAGAAAGAGAAATTATTCAGATAGCAATTTTTAAAAATGAACTCTTGGAGTGCCTGGGTGGCTCAGTCAGTTGAGTGTCTGACTTCAGCTCAGGTCATGATCTCACAGTTAGTTCGAGCCCCACACTGGGCTCTGTGCTGACAGCTCAGAGCCTGGAGCCTGCTTTGGATTCTGTGTCTCCCTCTTTCTCTGCCCCTCCCCCACTCACGCTCTGTCTTTCTCCCTCTCTCAAAAATAAATAAACATTTTAAAATTAAAAAAAAAAAAGATCTCTTATAAAATTTCCTGGAACTCAATAACAAAAGTTACAACTCAAACATTGCATGTCATAGTAATAATCATCGTAAAAGTCTTCATAATAGCCAGACTTGAGTGACACATATGGAGGTGTTCTGCACCTCCATAACCCTCTTTGTTATTCACCACTATACACTAGATGGTGAAGTTATTTATCAACAGTGCTATTATTTCTCCCTCACTTGATTTTAAATTCTTTAAGAGAGATTTTGTTGGTTTCTAACACTACACTATGCATAAAGTAGGTGCTCAGTTAATGTCCCTGAGAGTATAAGTCATGAGCAAAGGAAGAGATATTATAGATTCATTCTGGCTCAACACTTCCACATATACCATTCTAAAAGCTTTGATTGAACACTTCCTTTCTACTTACAGAAAGCATAGCAATCTTTCAATCACTTATTTTCCTGAGAAGCCTTCTCAAGATACCCCAAACCTTTTATACACAATTGAACTGTTCCCTTTTTCATAATTACTCTAGCTCCCATGGACCCCAGGAAGTTGCTAATGTCAAAAACTGAGACCTGCGTTCTGGAAATTAATGGTAAATACACAGGTCAAGGACTTGTGGAAAATGAGATAATAATAATAATAATAATAATAATTTAAAATAAAATCATCACAAGTACTATTAATTTAACAAGTAGATTTTTAGATTGCCATTCTGATCAATATATATTTTTTAAAAGCTAAATAGAGTTACTAAGAATGTTTTTCAGAAATCAATGTGTTTACAAAAAGTGCTAATAGAATTTGTTAAACCACAAATTTGGTAAACTTGTTAACTTTCAAAATTTCACAATTAACTGAAATGCATGCCAGTTGAACAAATCTGTATCCAATTCATTTCTGTGTAATGTTGGTTGTATCATGACACTCAATAAACAGTCATTGGAAGCAGTGTCAAAAAGAAAATGCTCCCTTTCTTAATGAATATTCCCTTTCTGTCAACTTTTATTTCTATTAAGAGGTTGTATAATACATTTCTGACAGTGATTTCATTGGTTCCCTGAGGATATTCTCATGACTCTAAACTGTAGTCTAAAGTTATAGTTCACTCTTTGGGTCAATTCATGTAACTTAGCATTTCTTTTTCCTCTAATTTTTCATTGATCTCAATTTTAAAAAGTTCCCAATTTTTAAAACTAAGATTTCTTTAGGGAATCCTTGAGGCACTTTATCTGGGTGAACTTGAGTGGTTGGGAAACACTTAGGTTCCCCTGACAACCAGTTACCTTACTGACTGAACCCTCTCCAGTCATAGCCCTAATGTCTGTTTTCCCAAGACCCCCTCTTCCAACTCATACATGCCCATCTGACTAGCCTGCAATTCTGTACTCAATGAAAAAAGAAATGCAATGTTCACAGTAAAGTTAATATCTTTTCTTCCAAAGCAAAATAGTAAAATTCTATTAAATATCTCCTGAGAAGTATGTCTTAACAGAATGTAAAACAGCTAGTCTTCAGGCAGATTGAAGAGAGGAATATATTTGAATAAGGCAGCATGCTATACCATATGGGGGGCAGAGGCCTCTGTCTCTATGGTGGTAGATCTGTGTTCTAACTCCATTACCCAAATGAAACACCAGATGTTATACTGCAAGTGTCAATTTAAAGATTAGATACCATAGATATCTGCACATGACTGCACCCAGTGCCTAAGCCATTTATTATTATTTCATATGTGTTGCTTTATATCATAACCATCTCTTTCTCAATATTTTCTGGCTTCCCAAATTGTAAGCTTATCTGTCTCCTATACTTAAGGCTGATGTACTATCGTTGTTCCAACAGTCCCAGTCTATTTTTCTCTGGTGCCAACTACACAGAAAAACTAAACTGCTACCTCTTTATCACATTTGGAAGTCCAGAAAGGATGAAATATTATTTTTTAAAAAAAAATTTTTTTTTCAACGTTTATTTATTTTTGGGACAGAGAGAGACAGAGCATGAACGGGGGAGGAGCAGAGAGAGAGGGAGACACAGAATCGGAAACAGGCTCCAGGCTCTGAGCCATCAGCCCAGAGCCTGATGCGGGGCTCGAACTCACGGACCGCGAGATCGTGACCTGGCTGAAGTCGGATGCTTAACCGACTGCGCCACCCAGGCGCCCCAGGATGAAATATTATTGACCTATGTTTAGTAGGGTGTCTTCACTTAGTCTAGTCATCTCTGGCTAGACAAGTGAGGGAAAAGGTCACATAGTATAAACATAACTACCAACAAAGGGTCCCAGGACAGAAAAATGATGGTCTGGGACACATACAAGAATGATACCTACTACAGAAGTTGAAATCTTACAATTCCTTTATCAATTTAAGTGAGTAATTCACTTTTACATAGTATATAAATATTCATCTTTGGTTTGTTTTTGATAACATTATTTATAATTAGATTAATACAAAAAATATAGTTGTTGTTTCAGAGTTTCATCTTGGAACTCTGTATTTTTATTTTTTTTTAATTTTTTTTTCAACGTTTATTTATTTTTGGGACAGAGAAAGACAGAGCATGAACGGGGGAGGGGCACAGAGAGAGGGAGACACAGAATCGGAAACAGGCTCCAGGCTCTGAGCCATCAGCCCAGAGCCTGACGCGGGGCTCGAACTCACGGACCACGAGATCGTGACCTGGCTGAAGTCGGACGCTTAACCGACTGCGCCACCCAGGTGCCCCAGAACTCTGTATTTTTAATCCAGCATGTCAAACTTCCAGAATATCACATCTACGTCCATCACTTTCCTGCTAACTGGTGTTCCTGGGCTGGAAGTCTTCCACACCTGGATCTCCATTCCTTTCTGCTTTCTCTACATAACCGCCCTCTCAGGAAATAGCCTGATTCTCTTTGCCATTGTCACTCAGCCCAGCCTCCACGAACCCATGTATGATTTCCTCTCCATGCTGTCCACCACTGACCTCGGCCTGTCCATATCTACCCTGGTCACCATGTTGGGTATATTCTGGTTTGATGCCAGGGAGATCAGCTTTAATGCCTTCTTGTCACAGATGTTCTATATTAAACTCTTCACTGTCATGGAATCTTCAGTGTTGTTGGCCATGACCTTTGATCATTTTGTGGCCATCTCTAATCCACTCAGGTATGCCACCATTTTAACTGATTCCAGAATAGCTCAAAGTGGAGTGGCAACTGTCATCAGGGGGACACTAATGCTAACACCAATGGTAGCACTTCTTAAAAGACTGTCCTTCTGCCACAGCCATGTGCGCCACCACTCCTACTCCTACTGCTTCCACCCTGATGTAATGAAGCTCTCGTGCACAGACACTAGGATCAACAATGCAGTTGGGCTGACTACCATGATCTCTACTGTTGGTGTTGACTCAATCCTCATCCTCCTTTCTTACATTTTGATTATTAAGACTGTCCTCAGCATTGCATCCCCAGAAGAGAGGAAGAAAGCCTTCAGCACATGTATTTCCCATATTGGGACTGTTGCTATTTTCTATTTTCCATTGATCAGTCTGTCCTTTGTTCACAGATTTGGGAAATGAGCCCCAGCCTATGTTCATACAATGATTGCTAACACCTACCTCCTGATCCCTCCTGTAATGAACTCCTTCATCTATAGTGTGAAGACCAAACAGATACACAGAGCTATGATAAAAATTCTCCATTCCAAAGATACATAGAATCATAGAATTCTAGTGGTCTACGTTATGATTTTAAAAACAAAACTTGTGATCATGAAACAAAAATTTAAAATTAAATCTGGAATATATGTAAAACATCAGCTACCTTGACCCTTTATTTTACAGATGAGGAGACAGAGACTTGAAGATAGAAGGGATGAATGGTGTAAAGTCCTAAGTCTAGAATTTCTCCCACCCACCACTGTTTGTTCTAAACTGTTTATCCTGCCAACAGACTATATCTTCTTACTTGGTCCTCTTTATAGCAGTTAGAATGACACATTATGAGAAAGCCACTCCTTTATGAGAAATAGGTAGTATTTTCTTAACTGTAATAATAATTTTTACTAACAGGGGCGCCTGGGTGGCTCAGTCAGTTAAGCAATTGACTCTTGCTTTCAGCTCAGGTCATGATCTTGCAATTACTGAGTTCAAGCCCCACATCAGGCTCTGTACTGACAGTGCACAGCCTGCTTGTGACTCTTTCTCTCCCTCTCTCTCTCTCTCTCTCCCCCCACACACACTCTCTCTCTCTAATAAACTTAAAAAAAATAATTTTTACTAACATTATTTCTTTTGACTAGTCATGGTTCTTAGTGTTTTTTTACATTTATTAACACATCTAAAACAATATTATAAGGTAGTTATTTCTTTGATCAATGAAAAAACTGAGGCACAAAAATGTTAAGTTACTTGCTTAAACATCTCATAAATAACACAGCATACTTCACATGCATGCAAACTGACTCCAGGATCCCCAACACTCCTAACTTCAACTATATTTTTACCTATAATAATATAATACATATATAATTATATATACACATACATATGATTATATAGATATAGATATAGATATAGATATAGATATAGATATAGATATATATCCATGTAATTTGTATTTGGGTGACATAAAGAAGCAAAACAGGGGCGCCTGGGTGGCACAGTCGGTTAAGCGTCCGACTTCAGCCAGGTCACAATCTCGCAGTCCGGGAGTTCAAGACCCGCGTTGGGCTCTGGGCTGATGGCTCAGAGCCTGGAGCCTGTTTCCGATTCTGTGTCTCCCTCTCTCTCTGCCCCTTCCCCGTTCATGCTCTGTCTCTCTCTGTCCCAAAAATAAATAAACGTTGAAAAAAATTAAAAAAAAAAAGAAGCAAAACAAACAAACAGACAAATAACAAACAAAAAAACCCACAACTCTATCCTTTAGAAATTTTCAACCACATTATGGAGAAAAACCCCAAAATAGAATTTTCTAACCTGAAAAGTACAAATGTATTTCTACCCGATTGTTCTTTCCCAACTAAACATATTCCAGAATTTCTCTTTGCTTTCCACCAACTTTCTGCCCCAGCAGAAACTGAAAAATGACTAACAACTGCAAATGAATTTCACTTTGTATCATTTACTTGGAAATGTTCAATTTGTGGCCATATGCTTAACATAGAGGCTTAATCCAACAAGTTAATTATTTTTTCCAACCTGGGTATGTCCATTAATTCTCAAATATTTACAGCACATGTTTCAATGACACATTGATATCACTTGGTAAAGTTGGCCCCTTAAGGTGGTATCAGTTCCAGCAAGGAAGGAGTAGTCCGTCATATCTACAGGAAGTTTATTAGGTGACAACAGTACTATAATAAAAAGGATGGTGTGAAAATTCTCAGTATGTTTGACAATAACATTTTCAGTCTCAATTATTGCTGGTCTTCACTTCCCTGATCTTTGTATGCTGGAAAGTTCCAGGATTTTGTTCTCAGACCTGATTTTCTCTGTTATATTCCCATTTTTGGTTATCTCATCTAGCATAATGGCTTTAAATACCATCAACATGCTGGCAAATCCCAAACTAATATTTATAGTCCAGACTCATATGCTATATATCAGTACTCCTACTAAAATGTTTAACAGTCATCTCAGATTATCATGCCCCAAACCATATCCTAATATTCACATAACCACATCTTCCCTAACTGAGAAATTCTATTTTTCATGTTGCTGATATAGAACTCTTGGAGCTATTTCTGACACCTGTCAGTCTTTCCCACTCCACATCCAAACTATCAGCAAATGCTGATGACTCTTTCTTTCAGATATTCCACATATGGATATCTGGAATCTAGCTTCTTTAAACCACCTCTGATGCTACCACCATGTTCCAAGCCAACATTATCCTGGACCTGAAATATAATAGTCTCCTGGTAGATCTTTCTTCAGCACTTTTGCTTTTTTGAAAAAAATGTTTATTTATTTACTTTTGAGAGAGACAGCAGAGGAGGGGCAGAGAGAGAGGGAGACAAAGAATCCCAAGCAGGCTCCACACTGTCAGCACAGAGCCTGACTTAGGGTTTGAATTTACAGTGAGATCATGACCTGAGCCAAAATCAAGAGTCAGATGCCTAACCAACTGTGCCACCCAGGCACCCCACCACTTTTGCTTTACTATCTATTTTACCCATGGTAGTTAGATTTTTCCTTTTTTTTTTTAATGTTTTTATTTATTTTTGAGACAGAAAGAGACAGAGCACGAGCAGGGGAGGAGCAGAGAGAAGGAGACACAGAATCTGAAGCAGGCTCCAGGCTCTGAGCTATCAGCACAGAGCCCAACGCAGGGCTCGAACTCATAGACTGTGAGATCATGACCTGAGCTGAAGTTGGACGCCCAACCGACTGAGCCACCCAGGTGCCCCTAGAGTGATTTTTATTTTTAATTTTAGAGAGAGAGAATGCATAAGCAGGGGAGGGGGACACAGAGAGAGAGAGAGAGAGAGAGAGAGAGAGAGAGAGAGAGAACCCCAAGCAGGCTCCACACTCAGTGTGGGGCCCAGCACAGGGCTCAATCTCACAACCCTGGGATCATGACCTGAGCCAAAATCAAGAGTCAGGCACTCAACTGACTGAGCTACCCAGGCACCCCTAGAGTGATTATTTTAATACATAAAAAAGATCATACCACTTCCTCTGTTCAACATATCCCAGTGTCTTATCCAGGGAAAATTCACAGTCATTATAATATCTCATGAGGATCTATATGATTTAACTACCCTGTACCATCCCAATTTCATCTCCTACTACTCTCCCCTTTATTCATTCTACTATACCCGCACTAGCCTCCAAATATTTCCTTAAACCCACCAACCATACTTCAACATCGAACTTCTCACTTTCTGTCCTCCCTACTTGGAATGTTCTTCCCCAAACACCCTCATGGCTTACTGCCTCAACTCATGCAGGTCTCTAAGTGTTACCTTACTACAGGGCCCTTGACATTAAAAATAACAACAACAACACTCACGCAATTCCTGTCTGCATTCACTCTCTTCATTACCTATTTTGTTTTTAGTCCCTGGTATTCCTCTCCCCCACCAAAATAGTTATTTATTCTCTAGTTTCCCCATTACAAGGTAAAATCTTTGAGAATAAGAACTTTGTTTCATTCATGCTGTCTTCCAGACCCCAAACTAGGGTCTGCCACATAATAAAATAATAACAACCCTGGATGACCTGGCTCTATTTAGGTCTCAAGCCTCATCACCTGCCCTCTGTTCAGGGCTGCAGGCACTACAAACCACTTGCATTTCTTACCCGTGATTGCTCTGGGTCACTTACAACCCTTTGCACAAGCTGTTACCTCCCTCTGTAGCACCCTCACTATCTCCCTTCTCCTGACTTAGAATAGAAGTGACTTAATCTCAAAGGCATTTCCTGACTTCTCAAGTCCATCTGGTGTCCTTTCCAGGTGCTTCTGCAGAACTTTGTGCCTCTTTCTCAGGACATCCCTTTTCAGACCCTACTGTAACTACTTCCTCACCACAGATTCTGTGCCCACTTCCTATGACCAGGGACTATGACTCATTCATTCACTGTTGGAAAGAAGTGAAAAAGTTCAGATGATGTACATTTACAGACTTGATATTTATTTGTTTGTGGGGGAAGAGGAAGGGAAACTTAGAGAAGAATGATGAGGTACACAGAGTCCTAAAAATCAGAGTAAGAAGGAACGTCAGTCTAAAAAACCAGATAGCCAAGATGATCATAGTACTTCTACAGATATTTCTCCCCTACCTCATCACCCCCTACATACACACTAACCTATGGACAGACCCACTATCCAACAATCCTGGAAACTTGGAAGCTTTTATCACTAGGAAGTGGGTAATTTGGACAATTTGGGAATAGGTGATTTGAAGAGCAAATGTCACCTCTGACCAAGGTAGACAAGCTCATAATGAATTAGAAAAGTTCCTGAAAGCTGAGGTGAGTAGTATACACATAGCTGCTATTGTAGCTACCTGAATTCATACTATAAGTAAAAATCCTTAACTGTCCTATAAAAAGTCCTATAAAGTCCTATATGATCCAATTCCCTATTATCTGATCCTATCTCCCTATTGCTCTCCTCTTTGTTCTCTCTGCTCAGACACACTGGCCTCCTTGTTATTCTAAACTCCCAGATACACTCCCCTCTCAGCTTTGTAGCTTCTGTTCTTCTTCCTCAGATAACCTTCCTCAGAGATCTCCATGGATATATTTCTCACTGTCTCCAGGCTTCTCCTCAAATGTCTCCATTTTGTGAGATATTCCCCCAACAACTTCATTTAAAATTTCAACTTTCATTCCTGGTGGTCTAGTGGTCCAGGAGCTCAGTGCCTTTTTGTGCATCCCTTCACCCTCTTTATGAAGAAACTGTTCTCAAACAGTTTTTTCAACTTTCAGGGGCACCTGGGTGGCTCAGTCGGTTAAGCATCGGACTTTTGCTCAGGTCATGATCTTGTGGTCCATGAGTTCGAGCCCCATATCGAGCTCTGGGCTGACAGCTCAGAGCCTGAAGCCTGCTTCAGATCTGTGTCTCCCTCTCTCTCTCTGCCCCTCCCATGCTCATGCTCTGTCTCTCTTTGTCCCTCAAAAATAAATAAATGTTAATTTTTTTTTTAAATTTCAACTTTCCACCCTAATATTTACCTATTCTCTTCTTCACTTTTTTTTTCTCTTTAGGTAGTCATAAGAAGAAACTATTTAGTTTCACATAATAACCTTGTACCATGTGTCCCTCTTACCAGGATGTATAATTCATGAGGGTGGACTTTTAAAAAAGAATTTTGTATTTCTTATTACATTGTAGACCCCTGATAAATATTCATTAAATGTGAGTGAATAAAGAATCAGCACACCTAGTTCTCCAACCAGTATTATCACGAATAACTCTGCAACCAAGGCAAAGAGCCTTTATCTCATCCATGCCTTATGTGTGCACCTAACACAGGTGCAATAGAGTGGCTTCCCTACTTCAAGGTCTATTTCATCAACTGAAAGAAAAGCTGGGAATGAAAATCTGAAGAAGTACACGCCCTTATTTTGACTTATGGAAATTACTGGTTTTGTGTACCCATCTTGGCTTTTAAACAGGATGTGAACTCCTAGAGCCCAAGGACATAACTATAGATCCATATTGCCTGTCACGTCTAGCAAAGTGATTAATGAGGAAACGCTCTAACCTCTGTTGCTAACTGGGGAAATGTGAGTTATTTGGAAGAGTGTGGATAGATTGTCTAAAGCCCTGTATGTGTAACTGTGGGAGTGACGGAAGAGTCAGTGCCCTCTTGTGATCACCTCCCCTCATACACACACCTAAAACAGTGGGATGGAACTGTAGAATGTTATGCTAAGTGAAATAAGTCATACAGAGAAAGACAGGTACCATATGTTTTCACTCCTATGTGGGTCCTGAGATCCTGTGACACCCACATGGACATGGAGATACTGTCCCCTGCCTGCTAAGCCCCAGGGGCCTCAGTTCATACTCCCACAGTCTGTCCCCATGGGCCTCCTAGGCAGTGCTATAAATAGGCCTGTGAAAGGGAGAGCCAGCTCCAGCTGCGCTCTCTCTCAGTAGGACTGCATGGTTTTCAAGCGAGTGCACTCTCGCCTGGGGTCAGGAAGCCAAAATTCCTGCCATCCTAAGAGACCTTGAGGACACCATAACTGTCTCATGGAAGGAGGGGAAAGCCCCTTTGTCCAACCCACATCTTCATGGGCCGAGAAGAAATGTCCCAGAGCACTGGCTGACAGTCCAGAAAGGCAAGTAAGAGTGAATGCAACAGCCACATTCAGACCCAAAGAGAAGCTGAAATTGGTCCTAGACAGAGGTCACTTTAGGCAGAAGGCCAGACAACATGGGAGAGAGACATGAGGTCTTCTGGGATAGGTAACTGGGGAGACAAGATAATGGTTCAAAGTCTTAGACTGTTACCAGCAAAGCAGAAAAGATGCCCTGCGGAAAGAGGAGTCAGGAAAGGATCCAACTCTGTGGCCAACAGAGACCCTTATATCTGTGGGTACTCACATAGTAACATGTGCAAGAGGTTTTGGGAAAGGGGAAATAAATTACTGTGTTCCCCCTACTCCCCCTCCATGACTTTTCCTTCATTTGGGGCCCCATTTCTCTTGGAAACCAAGGTCCAATGAGCTGGCCTCCCTCCAGGGAAGTTTCCTTAGCATTACCCATACTTTTCAGCCTGACTTGTTTCGATTTCTGAATCTCCCACCCCAAGCTACCTATGATAGATACATAGATGACTGGATGGATACAAGACATAAGCTATCTTTCATCTCATTGAAGGATGCAATTATCTGTCTATGAAAAGGTCTTTTCATTCTCTGACAGAGGCTTGGGGCTAAGTTTAGGATTTCATATTTGCCAAGGAGAGTAGCTATTATGTCTTTGCATAAGATCTGAGGATAGGGAGAAGAGAAAATAGTGGTCAGAGGTATGAATTTGTGATCTTTGACTTGAGAATTTTGTGACCTTTGACTTGAATTTGTTCTCCCTTGCTTATCCACAATGAGGATAATACAAGTCACATCTTTTAGTTCCCATTTTATCACACAATATTTTAAGACTGCTGGTCTCCAAACCCTCCCCCTTAAAGCCAAATAAAAGAGAGACTCCCAGTTGCAGTAAGGACTCAGATTAGGAGTGAAGAAGAATCCTGAGAAAATGAACAGGTTTACCTAACTATCACTGATGAAGACACCTGCAGAGTTTCCCAAAATTCAGAGGCCCTAAGTGAAATAAGGGCCAAGACTTGAAGCCAAGTCTTTGGCTTTTTAGAAACAATTAGCTCTAAAAACCAGGGCACCTAGGGAGCCTAGCAAGGGAAAGTGTTTGATGAGGTCAAAGCCCAGGTATGTGGGTGGGAGGGCAGGGGCAGAGCCAGTGGGGGGCAGGACAGGGCTTCCAAAAGCAAAAAGTTTCCCCTAATATGAATGACTTGTTGGCAGAGGTTTCAAAAAAGACAAAGCTCTAGAAGGGTTAGGACTCAACCTAAGATCTCCTTGGGGTAAGGAATATGGCCTTGGAGGCAGCTGTCTTATGTGGAGATACACATCAGCCAGGAATAGAGAGAAGAGCCTTCACAAGGGACAATGCCAGGCAGCTAGGATCTGTTGGAGGCCACATACCCTCATCTGCTGGAAGCCAGGACCTTCATCCCCAGATAAGTCAGTGGAGGGAACTACTCCCAAAGGAGTTTCCTTATTTTCCTCAATAGATTGACTTGTGGGCCTCTTTTCCTTAGTGTTGTTTTTTTTTTTTTTCATTTTTAGAAAATTCCTGTTTTTGTGTTTCTTTCTTCCCTTGCTGGCCTTAGACCTAGGGACCTAAAATCCTGGAAATCTGAAGCAAAAAAAAAAAACCCAAAACCTATCCCCATTGTCTTGGTATACCCATTAATCCCTTCTCTAATTCCTACTTAATGTTTAAAAACAAAAGGATCATTTCTCTTCCCCTCCCATGCATTAAATGCACACTTTATGCTAACACTTATCCCAAAATTCTAATAATTTTGTTACTTGTCTATCTTCCACCATAGACAAGGCATCTGAAGGGCAAAAGATATGTCTTTTATCTCTGTGTCATGAGCATCTAGAAAATTGCCTTGTACATAGTAGATCATATAAGTAGATGCTTATAAAATGAATGAACAATTGAAGGAAAGGAAGGGAAGGAGAACACACCTGTAAAGGGGTTCCCAATAGGGTATCTGTTAACACTTATCTGAGAAAAGGACCACCCAGTATCCAGACAATGAAGGTGTGGGCCAGGAGTCTGAAGGAATTTGGAAAGGATACATTTTGGGATAAGCATTGTTCTCCCCAGGTTCCCTTTAAAAAATGTAAACGGACCTTGCGAATAGTAACTGATAAATGAATTTTTTTATGTTTATTTATTTTTGAGAGAGAAAGCACGAATAGGACAGGGACAGAGAGAAAGGGAAACAGAGGATCAAAAGCGGACTCTCCACTGACAACAGTGAGCCTGATGTGGGATTCGAAATCACCAACTGTGAGATCATGACCTGAGCCAAAGTCAAACACTCAACCAACTGAGCCACCCAGGCTCCCTGATAAATGAATTTTAACTACCATTTTCCCTTTGGAAGAGGACTTTAGAACTTATGAAAGAGTGTAAATGGCTTGGAAGAGTGGGAGGAAACAGTAGGAGAGGGAGAGCTGAGAAACATTCAGTTTCCAGGATTCCAGGGCTGGTCTCTCTGATTGTGCTCCATGTCCTAGCAGGCTAGCTGGCTGCCAGTGTGACCTCACCCTCTCCAGTGCCCCCTACTCGGTGCCAGCTATGAGTTCCTGCAATTTCACACATACCACCTTTGTACTCATTGGTATCCCCGGATTAGAAGAAGCCCATTTCTGGATCGGCTTCCCCCTGCTTTCAATGTATGCTGTAGCAGTGTTTGGAAACTGCATCGTGGTGTTCATCGTAAGGACGGAGCGCAGCCTGCATGCTCCCATGTACCTCTTTCTCTGCATGTTGGCAGCCATTGACCTGGCATTGTCCACATCCACCATGCCCAAGATCCTCGCCCTCTTCTGGTTTGATTCCCGGGAGATTACCTATGATGCCTGCATTGCCCAGATGTTTTTTATTCATGCCCTCTCAGCTATTGAGTCCACCATCCTGCTGGCCATGGCCTTTGACCGTTATATAGCCATCTGTCACCCACTACGCCACGCAGCAGTGCTCAACAATACAGTAACAGCCCAGATTGGCATGGTGGCCGTGGTCCGTGGATCCCTCTTCTTTATCCCACTGCCTCTGCTCATCAAGCGGCTGGCCTTCTGCCACTCCAATGTGCTCTCACACTCCTATTGCGTGCACCAGGATATGATGAAGTTGGCCTATGCAGACACATTGCCCAATGAGGTCTATGGTCTTACTGCCATTCTGCTGGTTATGGGCGTGGACGTCCTCTTCATCTCCTTGTCCTATTTTCTGATTATACGAACAGTTCTACAACTGCCTTCCAAGTCAGAGCGGGCCAAGGCTTTTGGAACCTGTGTGTCACACATCGGTGTGGTTTTAGCCTTCTATGTTCCTCTCATTGGACTCTCAGTGGTTCACCGTTTCGGAAAAGGCCTTGACCCCATCGTGCATGTTCTTATGGGTGATGTCTATCTACTTCTGCCTCCTGTGATCAATCCCATCATCTATGGTGCCAAGACCAAAAAGATCAGAACTCGGATGCTAGCTATGTTCAAGATCAGCTGTGACAAGGACCCTCAGGCTGTGGGAAGCAGGTGATCTTTACCACTTTTCCTTATCCTTAGTGGCTTGACATAATGATTTCCTAATACTAGCTTATTTCTAGTTGCCTATTTAATGATTTTTCCTGCTGTGGCCTCCAAATGAGGCTACCATGATTACCTTTCATAGGAAATTAGTTTTTATTAATTAAAATTCACAATTTTGGGATATAAATTCTTGAGCATCACAGCTGATGGTATAATTGGCAATATGTAGCAAGAAATTTTTAAAACTTATATGCTTTAATGCTTTCTCACTTTTGGAAATTTATCCTAACAAAATATCCCTAAATGCTGAAAGCAGTTTTTCATAAAATAGATTGGCTACACCACTATTAATCATATACTAAAGATTACAGGATATAATATATAAAAGTAAGGAATAGTAAATTTGAGTATGGTCCATTTATTTAATGAAATATATGTGGAACAATCCATATTAAAAGAATATTATGTGACCTTTAAAGACTCTGCTATAAAATGAAACATGCATATAATGTTAAAAATAAAATAAAAAGGACACATGATTGAAATTAACTTCAAAAGCAATCTATGCCTTCAAGGAAATGTGCTCAAATTAGTGACTCATTTTAGTTTTGACTTTCTAAATTTATCTATTATGGATGTCTTGTTTAAATGACATGTATAACTTTCAAAATGAAGAAAATGAAACTAATAATTTACACAAACCTAAGCTTGTCAAAGACCTCATTGTTGGTTTACTATGCAATATCTGAAAATTTATCTAAGCCCTACATAATAATGCTAATGAACCTGTCTTAAGTGCTTACCATGTTCTAGGCACTATACTAACTGCTTTAGAGATTTTATCTGATCTTCACAACAATTTTGGGGGGTAGGTACCATTTTTGTCCCCCATTACAAGTGAGAGAAATGAGCCTTTCATTAACAAGATAACTAAGTCATAGTTTGTGGGTGCTGTGCCAAGATTTGAAATTGAGTTTGATAACCAAATATAGTTACTTAATTTCCACATTATATTGCTTCCTGTTTAATAGATTCCATTTATTTCTTCAGCCTGTGCAAATCCTGTTTTCTCTCTGCTGTGTGTCTTCTAAGATGAGTGACTTTGTGTTGAGAGATAACCCTGCCCTCATGAGCAACAAATCCAGATTGCTCTTCGTGATTTATAGTCACCTTTCATGTTCTACAGCCTGTTTCTTTCCAGATTAAGGGAGAGTAGTTTTGTCTACTTATAGATTACATCTTCTCACCCATATCTCCCTTCTGTCAGTATATCCTGTATCTTTTAAACATTTCATATGTGTGGGTTTTAACTTAAGTATAAGACAATAAAATTTTATTTTAAATTTTGCTAAGTGTTATGCCTACTGTTTTTATATTTATAGAATCCTATAAATTCAGATTTGAAGATGCAGGAGATTCTCTAGTCTACTTTCCTAGTCTACCACAGGTATTGTTTGTACAACTGTGAAGATGCTGAATGCATCTTTTCTCAAGGTGGGATATTTCCATTTTATGGTTGAAATCAGATCTGATGAGAAGCTGAAACGTGACTACAATCATTGGGTCTCTTAGTAGCTTCACTGAATAAATGTTGGGTGGGAGATTTGGGTGGATATCATCCAATTGTGATTCCCTGCTCAGAGGCAGTCAAGTGGCCTCCAAAGTCACACAGCTAATCAACACAGATAGACTAGGACTGAGAGAAAGAACTAGAATGGAAGAAATGAGTGACTTCCCTAAAGAAACAAAGAGATGCCCATTCTCTGTAAAAGTAGAGATTCAGGTATTGGGACTCACCCTAAATAATGAGGACAGGAGACTCATTTAATGAGACTGAACCTCATTATGTCTCTCTCCACAACCTCCATCCTCTTCTATCTTCCTATGTATTACTCAACCTCAAATCATACCCTCCCACCCTAGTTCCATATGCCTAAGAGCATGGCCATATTGACAATTTAATAAAGTATGTATCTTTTGCTTTTAAATCTCTCATGGTATTCCACTGCAGCCCAACTTACTCATATTCTATTGCCATCTCCCCGACCCTTCCCTTTGCCCTAAGATTTTCATTTTTTTCTTTTAAACACTGCTTTTATTTTTTGTAAGTTTTAATTTAAATTCCAGTTAGTTAAAATACAGTGTAATATTGGTTTCAGGTGTACAATATAGTGATTTAACATTTTCATACAACACCCAGTGCTTATCACAACAAGTACACTCCTTAATCCCCATCACCTATTTCACCCATCCCCCCACCCACCTCAATTCTGGTAACCATCAGTTTGTTCTCTATAGTTAAGAGTCTGTTTCTTGGTTTGCCTCTCTCACTCTCTCTCTCTCTCTCTTTGTCTTTGTTCATTTATTTTCTTAAATTCTATGTATGAGTGAAGTCATATGGTATTTGTCTTTCTTTTACTAACTTATGCTAAGTGAAATAACATTTTCATTTTTTAAAAATAGTCCAAAGACTGGGGCACCTGGGTGGCTCATTCCGTTAAGCAGCCAACTCCTGATTTTGGCTCAGGTCACGGTCTCAAGATCATGAGTTTGAGCCCCATATCAGGTTCAGTGCTCACAGTGCAGAGCCTGCTTCATATTCTCTGTCTCTGTCTCTGTCTCTCTCTCTCTCTGGCCCTCCCCCACTCACGCTTGCTCTCTCTCTCTCAAAATAAATAAATGTTAAAAGAATTGTTTAAATAAATAAAAAATAAACAAAAGTAGTCCAGAGACTTGTTTGCCAATATTCACAGCAACACTATATTCACAGTAGCCAAAAAAGTGGAAACAACCTAAGTGTTCATTAACAGATGAATAAACAAAAGGTGGTATATACATACAATAGAATATTATTCAGCCATAAAAAGGAATAAAATTTAGATACATATGACAATATAGATAAACCCTGAGAGCATTATGCTAAGTAAAACAAGCTACACTCAAGAGGACAAATACTGTTTGATTCCACTTACATGAATATGTAGAATAGACAAATTTATAGACACAGAAAGTAGAATAGAGGTTACCAGGGGCTGGGGGAACGGATGATGAGGTGTTATTTAATGAGAACAGAGTTTCAATTTGTACTGATGAGAAAGTTCTAGAAATAGATAGTGGTGATAGTTGCACAACAATGTGCAACTAATTTAATGCCACTAAATTGCACACTTAAAAACCTGCTAAAGTGGTACATTTTGTGTTATGTTTCTTTCACCACAATAAATGGTCACCAAAGAAAAAAGGCAAATTTTTCATTAGCATTATCAATTTTTTATCAAGAACATGTTGAAATGATTGTATTTTGGATATACTGGGTTAAAGAAAATACCCTTTTATAAAAGTAACCAATAAGGATGATATTTAATCTCTTGTATTAAGGGAAGGAAAGAGCTCTAGGATGGGATTTATGAGCTCAGAGGTATAGTTCCTATTCTGCCTCTAGGTGGGTGACCTTGTCTAATTCACATAATCTCTCTGAATTAACTCTATAAAACAAGGTGATTAAATTAGATAATCTCTGAATCCCATCCCATTCTAAATATAATGTGCTCTGAACATTGAGAAGTCTTAAACAATTCCAAAGGGCCTGTAACTGAAAACCTGCAGGGACTCCTAGAAACTGCCTTCTGATTCACATTAAGACAGCCAAGCCCCTTCCCTGAGGCCACACCTGCTATTTGCCCAAAGGTAGTATTTATCAATTCTATCACCAACCCCTAATTCTGCCAATTAAGACTCTTTCAAAACTCAAAACTGCTCTCAATGGCAGGGATTTTCCACCCTAGAAAATATTCACAAGTTCCCTAAAAGGAAGCTCAATCCAATAGAAAGAGCAAACAGTTTTGTGGCTCATCAAATCAATTCACCCTCTGTGAGCCTTGTTTGCCTCATCTGTTCTTAGGGATAATAACACTATCTACCCCTCAGGGTTTTAGTGAGAATTATGTGCAATAATCCACATATAATGCTTAGCACAGTATTTAGTACATAGTTTGAACTCAATAAATACTCATTATTATCATTACCATGGAGAGGGCAGTGGGTGATAATCCCTGACTCACAGGGATATTGAAGGGATAGAAATGTGGTTTCTGTCTGTGCCAAGCAAGCCACAGATTTTTTGTAAACAGTCATCTAGCTACATTAGCCTGGAAACTTGGAGTTTAAGAAATGCGCTTCTCTCTCTCTCTTTCTCTCTCTCTCTCTCTCTCTCTCTCTCTCTCTCTCTCTCTCTCTCACCAGGACTAAGTGTGGTAGAAGGGAGAAGTAAGATTCAACTGAGATTCAAATAGGATTGATATGACTAATCTTATGTACAAAAGGAAGAAAACCAACAGAAGGTCATATTGTTCAAAGCTGTCCCAGGAAATTGTGATTGCATTCTAGAATGTGGCAAACTAAAGGGATAGTTATGGCCATTGCTTATTCCTTGTTCACATGGGCCACAGTCCTGGGAGAGTGTTTGACTTCTGGTTCCCATTGATCTGAAGGGCTTCCAGGAGGAGGCCCTCTGGGTGCTTGCAGAGCTGAGTCAACTTAGAGAGGTGATCATAGGCAGCCCCTGCCGTGAGAGGCCTCTGGGTTTCAGGCAAGTGCTCACTGAAATGAGAGTATCTTTCCCAGTGAAAAGGGGTCTCCAGGGACCAAGGATCATAAAAACACTGCCCTGTTCCCAGTCATGTTTATGTTGGCCTGGTCAGTGGAGGGCACTTGTTTAGGTAGCCAATTGCCCTTGAGAGTCAGAGTCTGAGGTTGTCTGGTAAGTAGGATAGTTTCCATCCCCCAGTAATTTCATTTAGTCCCCATCTCTGAGCAGCAAATCATTTGCTCCAAACTAGATTGACAAGAAATGACGACTGAACATAAATTTGTTTCTGGGGACAGAGATTTCCCCAAACTTTTCTTTTATTAGAAGAAAAGATTTACTCTCAATCCACATTTATGACCAGAGATTAGCAGCATCACATATCTAAGATTCTTTCCAATGATTATCATCACCAATTCTCCCAGGCCATGACAAAATTCATGCCTAAAGTCCATTTTTTAATATCATTCAATGTTAAGCATTCAAGAATCAGTTACAATGTTCCAGGACCTATAAAAGATGAAAGGAATACAA